CTCCTGTGTTGTGCCTTCTCCTAAGTGCTGGTATTCCGTGCTCTCTGCTTCCGTGCCTACGCACACCCCGTGCGTCCTGCTGTACTGTGTTTTGCTCTCCTCATGGAGTCTAACTCAACGATCCTGCGCCGGAGGAAGCTCCATCGCTCTGTTAAGTAGCTCCCCCGACGAGCTTGATCAGAAGCACGTGTGTGAGAACCTAGGCGTGACCAGCAGCTGGCAGGGCCACACCCATCAGGCCTACAGGTGGCTGTCCAGCCACACCCGCAGACAGACACACACACACATACACACACAAGCATGGAACACAAGAGCACAGTGCAGCAAACATACATCCAATACAATAATAATAATAGTCCACACTGCTCACGGACCTCCTAGGAACTGGGTCCGTGACACTTATACCATCTGTTGTTTTCTACTACCTTGTTTTTCAATCTCTCCACACAGCTTCTTTTTCTATCTGTAAACTCTCGTCTCTATCCTGCATCAGGAACTCGTTTATTTATTCATTTACTGGCAATTGGAGTCCTGCGATTCCAGCTCCACCTCCAGCATCTTTAGATAAATGACATTTCCAAAGCCAGATGGACTACAGATACTGAAATAGTCTACGATGAGTTCATCAGTCCTACCACTTTTCTGTCTCATTGTTTTTCTTGTCATCGTGGAAAGATAAGAAGAATTGTTTAAAAAAAAAAAAAAAAAGAAGGTTCAAATACACTTAAAAAACACTGCACAGAAATGATCCAGTGAAAAAGCAGCTGAGAACAGAGGGTGAATGTGTAGGTCAGATCAATACACAGATTGATTGATACACATAGGTTCATCTCACTAAAATTATTTTTCTTAGCAGGAAATCTCCATTTATAGATCCTTCATCAACATCACCAGTAAATACTTTATTATATAATTATTATATAACAATAAGACACTGAGAGTGAGTAACATTGTATCAGAATGCAATCTCATTATCCAGTTTCAGGATATTAAGACACGCACGTCTTCAGTTGCATTCATCCAAATCGGGACAAAATCTATAGTGTAGATATCCTCATGCATCAAATCATCCATAGACCCTTCATACAGATATTCAAACCCAACTTTCTTAGCATCTTGGATAAATCAATAAACCATTCTTCTTAAATAGCCTACAGCAAGAACTCAGACCGACCCAACTGTAGCATCTAAAACAATATCCAACTATGGCCTTTTTGCTGATGATACCACTGTTTTCTTTTCTTGTGGTGAACACACATTGCTGGGGTCGGCTAATGATGAAACTGACATGTTTTAAATTTATTTGACGTAAATGCCTTACACATAGGTAAAACAAGATGACTTATTTTAGGAAATTGAATTTCCTAGTGTAATAATAATAAACCTTCTTGAAAATCTATTTTAAGATATACTCTGTCAGTTTAAATTCTTGCATTACTCTTTAATTTTGTCACATCTCAGTTATTGTTCTGAACTATGAGATAAAACAAAGTTACAAAACGTACAATAACGAGAATCCTGTGGAATTGGTCGATTTGGTCAATTTAACACTTGAAATAATTGAAAATTATTGGCCATAAGAGATTGGTCTATTCTATCTATCTAACACAAGAGAAATCTCAATGTTAAAGTTGACTTTTTGTTAGAATACTCTAGAGGAACTCTCAAGAGGAAGCTTTGGACTGCACAGTGCATAGCATAGAACAGAACAGCCCACTGTACATTGTACATGAACAATAAATATTCGATCATTTAAGTACATGTATACAAAGAATATATTTGCACATTGACTACCATGAGTTGTATTTTTGCTTATTTGCAGGAAATGGTAACTTTGTGCTTAGGAAATTTGTGCTTATTCTGTTTGCCTTTTGCCTTTTAAGCACATGTGTATATGAACATATTGTGCATGTTTACATTTGTCTGCATGTACAGTGCTGTGAAAAAGTATTTCCTTCCTTCTTAAGTTCCTTTTTTTGTATATTTGTTTTGCTTTTGTTGAATGTTTCAGATTAAACAAATCCAAACCTACTTGATCCTTTGTCTTAAAGTATTTGCTCTCTAAGCACCTTGACATACCCTTGGTTTTTAAGTGTGCTTTATAAATAAAGTTTATTATTATTATTATTATTATTATTAAACGTATGACTGGTTGTGCCACCTTTGTCAGCAAGGACTGCAGTCAAACATTTGCATTTACTAGGAAGGATCTTTAGTTGCTTGATTTTTTCCATTTAGTGGTGGACTTGCTTTTGTGTTTCAGGTCATGATCTTGCTGTAAAACCTAAATGTGCTTAAGCTTCAGGACATGAACTGATGCTCAGGTACTGTCTTTCAAGATTTTTTGAAAGAGAGCAGAATTCATGGTTCCATCATGTAAGGCAACTCGTCCTGGTGCTGAAACAGCAAAGCAGTCCCAGACCATCACACCACCACGTTTGACTGATGATAATGTTTTTTATGAAATGCTGTTTAGTTTTATGCAACCTACCGCGGGACTCAAACCTTCCAAAAAGTTCAACAACAAAAGTCTTGGAGGTATATCGAGATATTTCTTGGCAAATGTGAGATCTTTGTGTTCTTTTGGGTGAGCAGTAGTTTTCACCTTGGAACTCTTGGATGCCATTTTTGCCTAGTCCTCAAATGAGGTCTGCAGTTCTTTAGATGTTGTTTCTGGATGAGTTGTCGATGTAGGCCAGCCATTCCTGGTAAGGTTTCCACTGTTTCAAGTCCCCTAACCTTAGAAATAGCTTCGTAACCCTTACCTGATAGATGTCAGTGACTTTGTTCCTTAGATCTTGACATGGTGTTTTGAGTTTTTAAAGATCTTTTAGCCTACATAACTTTGTTCCATTTAAGTGATTTCTTTCCTTAACATGTCTGGTAGCAATGAGGCCTGGGTGTGGCTGATCTAACTGAACTCAGCTTTTCAAAAAAATGTGGTTAATCGCAGTTAATTCGTAGGTTAATATTGGGGGCAATTACTGTGTGACAAATATGCAACTAAATGTATGTGTTCAACCAGTGTAAACGATTCATTTTAGAAAGGCCACATTTATGACATTTTCTTCTTCCTGCACCTTTTTATTCAAACTTGAATAAAAATAAATGAGTAGAATACACTCCAGATATGAAATTAGCTCTTGCTTTGAGTCATTTGAGCACTTGTTAAACTAATTGAACCAGAAAAGGTTATCTGTCCAAACAAAAAGCAAAAATATTGCCACTAGTAAGTTTTATCTTCAAGTGCTGCTTCTTTATATTGTCAAGTGCAAGTGCTGTCACTGTGGTTCATTTCCAGGCTTCATCAAGACTGAATAGGATGCAAAGTAATTTGATAATGCCCACTCAGCATTTAAACAAGTTCTCAGCCTGCATTAAATATCCTTCACCTCTCTGATCGCAGAATTTAGTGCTTACTGACAGAGAGAAATTATTTCAGCCAATTTCACCCATTAATTCTTGCATTACAGACACGCTATGGCTAGTAGAGATCATTTTCCATCACTCTCTTCTCATCTTTTTCATCTCCTCATCCCTATAGAGCCACACTTCTGTGGTCACGATAAATAAGTAAAAATGTGCACTAGCTGCCTGCTGGTAAACAATACTGACACGTTCATTTAGCACAGGAGGCAAGATTGCCCTCGGAGTAAATTCATCTTCTTCCCCCTTGTCTTTCATTCAGGTTGGGGTGACATGACATAGTGCATTGATTCCGTCCAGAGAAACAGTATATTCTCATTCCCTTTCACAATGAGGTCAAATGTCAGGGTCAGCCACAAAACACGCCTTTAAACGGGGTGGAAACTTACAAAAAATGGCAACCGAGCCTCCTTCCTTATATTTTATGTACAACATTTTGGCATTAATTTATCATGGACAGTTTCATTTGTGGTGTGAAACTGCTTCTAGACAGCTAGTCCTTCTGGACCAGCATTTAGGAGTTAGTGTTCTTTTCCACTATTCTTTATTTATCTATGGTACTTAATGCAGTTGTCAACTTGCAGTGGTGGCTCAGCTGACGTCTTATGTAGTCTCTTCACTTCACACTTCTTTTAAAACCCCATTTCTCACAAAGATGTTCTGCTATTTCTGAAACTATCCTCTCCATAAATTTGACGTGTGTCTTTTCTGATCAAAAGAAACATACTGCAAGCTTGTTTATGAAAAACAATCTCTCACTTTTTTCGCCACCTGTCCAAAAACTTTCCATCTCAGTTCGCAGCAGGAGCCTTCATTTCTAGTGTCATACATCAGGGCAGCAGCTCCAAGAGGAAATTGCTGCATCACCAGCCGATAGGAATTAACTTCAATTTTAGTATGTAGCATCCTAATTATGCATGATAATTAGTTAAATGTGTGCACCAGCTGCCTGCTGGTAAGTAATGCGGTCACAGCTCATATTCATTTAGAAGAGAGAGCAAGACTGCCTTTGAAATACATTCATTTGTCTTTTAATCAGCTCTGTGTGGCATAAAGTAACTACTGTAGAGGAATAATAATAAACCTCTAAAGCTTTGGGTTATAATCACACCTATAATTATACCACCTATACAGTAAATCTCCATCTCTGATGACACAGACATCAAGTAATTTTGTCCTGTTGGAGTTTATGCTGATACTCTGGCTTCCTCCAATTAAAATACATGTAAAAGATGCATACATGTAATACATGTAAAAAGAATAAAGCTAGTTTCAGAACTGGCCTCACTGATTCCAGCCAAACGTAGAAATCTCAGAATTACCTGAAACTAATAAAATTTGCTCCAAAACCCTCACAGATCAGCTGAATGTTCGCTTTATTTTTTATTCAAACTTACTTTCGAGTTTGACTGACAGCAAAGCCAAAAAATCATTTTGCACTGAAGCGCTTAAAAAGCATTCCCCATCCTACTCTCTCAAGTCTGCAGCACCACCAGCAGCAAGTGGTTAAAATTTGTCTAACAAAACCACAAACTACTGTGAGTCAGCAAAAAGATGCTGGAGATTATGCTTACCTTTCTGTAAACAATCATGTTGGGCGTGTCATCATCTGGGTCCACGATGCTCATGGACCTCGTGGAGAGCAGAGGTCGAGACGGGGTCGTCTGGGCAAGCTCCTTCGGTTCCTCAGCCCCTTCGTCGGGTTCAGTCTTCTCCACGGGGCTCGACTGCTGCTGCTCCTCTTCCTTCTCCTTCTCCCCTCCTTCCTCCTGCTGTTGCTGCTGCTGCTGCTGTGCCTCAGCCATCTCTCCCTTACAGTCGCCTTCCCCGTGTGTTAAATTATCCTCTCTTCTTTGTCTTCTCTTCTTTATTTCCAACTGTGCTGTCTCCAGAGTCTAGGGAAAGAAAGGGAGAGAGAAACAAAGTGATAAATTGGACCATAGAACTGAGCATTGGGCTCCAGTCTCCCATGTCTCTCTATTTTCTGGTTTTCTGTCAGCAGCCACAGGATGGATGCAATGGAGGCGTCATCAATTCTCCTACTTTTCTCTGTTATCCCTTCTACGCTACTCCCTCCAGACCCCCGTCACATGAGACTGAAGTTAAAGGAGAATAAAATACATTCTGTTTTTGCTTGATTATTCCAGTCAATCATTTCAGTTTGTGGGACATCATATTTCCTGGCATATAAGAGCGTCACTTGCTTCTTTCCCACAAAGGATGTGATGTCTTGTTTTACAAGGGGAATAAAAATTTGTTTCTTCAGTTAAAATTAGACATCATGTGCATGAATTAATTCAAATGATGAAAATCAGTCAGACGAATATCTCATTTTGAAAACTAATTTGCACGTTCATTTCCATTCAGAGAAGCAGAAGGATAGCAGCAAGAGTGAAAGGGAAGGTTTACAAGATGGTAGTGAGGCCTGCTATGATGTAGAGTTTGGAGACAGCAGTAGTGACAAAAAGACAGGAGGCCGTGCTGGAGGTGACAGAGTTGAAGATGAATTGTGTTACAAGTGACCAAAATGGACAGGATTAGAAATGAGTGTATCCGAGGGACAACTCAGGTCGAGCGGCGTGGAAACTATGTGGAGGATGCTGAAGATGGAGTGTCCAGGCAGGAGTAAAAGAGGAAGAGCACAGATAAGATTCATGGGTGTAGCGAAGGAGGACATGGAGACTGTTGCAAAAATGATTGCACATTATTCCAATAAACCACTCACAAAGTACAGAAACAAATTGCAGCAGGTTAAAGGTTGATTTTAAACCCCATAAAATTGCCCTTTAATTTACGACAGAACAAACGATCACTGAATCATGCACAATACATGCAATATATATGACTCCACACACACACACACTGGTGACATCCCATTACTCAGGCCTGTCTGTGCTCTTCTGACAGCTGTCAAAATATTGTTGTGTGACACCTGAGCTGAGATTAGGTGCAAGAAGGAGAAGGAGAAGTCAGATAGGGGGCAAACAGCTGGAAAGAGAAATGAAACACACTTGAAGCCCTGATTTCTATATGAGGGCCACATCTATGCATCCTCTTTTCCTCTGTGCTCATCAGTGCCAGAAGATTTTATCCCAAACGTAACTGGGACCAGATGCCTTTCCATTTAGTCCATTGTAAAAGAAATAATAGCTTCTGACTGATTCATCTGCAGACAGCTAGTCTCTTTGCTGGCTGCAACACAGTGAATGTGCAAAATAACGTTACACAGGCCTGGAAATCTAAACAATTCTGCACTCGATTAAATGAGTCTGGTTGCAAACCGGGCAATGAAAATGCAAAACAAATCTAATCTGCGCACGCTATAGGAAATGTCATGATAGCGAGCTCTTCCTTGTGTTGCAGATAACTGAATCCTTACAACAATATACCTGGAAACTGCCAAATATGCACTCGTGATAATGGAAACACACTCCATTATTTCATTTCAGTTTAATTTATTCATTTCTTTTGCAATGCAAACCAGAAGAGTTTGCACATAATCTCAGTGAGACGGAGGTTTTCCTGGAAACATTTATCTGAGAAAATATTTGTGGAAGACATTATAGACTTTAGGTGTATGACTGGAAGATGAATCTGCTCAGAGAAAAGTAGTATTTTCCACTTTGTGTTTCCACTCAGTAAAATCTTTAAAAAAAGACCATCACACTCACCACTAAATATAAAGAACTGAAATGTGAATGAAGGCCTGATGAAGGTTATCAAAGCAAAATGTCTTCCTAGAACTTCAGCCAAATGTTGGCAAAGAGTTTTTAATAGTGTCCACCTGTGCTTCATAAACCATGTGTACATGGGAAATGTAGTTCACATGTGTAGTTCCCAAAAGCTAGCATGAATGGTGAGAACGAGAGCAAAACTAAAACCTGAGTTAAAGTTCTTTTTTCTTTAACTGGGAATTCACTGTAAGAAACAGTGTTTTTAGTCATTTAAATGTTTATCTATTGCTTATTTACTTTGGTGCAGTATGAATGGGCAGAGGAAAACTAGCAAAACTTGAAAATACAGTTAAAAGTGAAGTCGCATTTTCTAAAACTGTCCACAGGCTCAGACTGGAGTCATTGCCGGGCCAATTCTAGTCCCGGGCCTCATGTTTGACACCCCTGCTGTAGGAAAAAAAAGAAAATCAAATTTATCTAATTTAATCAATTTGTGAATATTAACCATGTAAGCATGTTTTCAGCTGAAAGAATAAAGGTATCAGAGCTGAAATTTGACACAGAATCAGTGTGGGTGCCTGCATCCGCAGTATCATCATCGTGAGCATCATGTGTTGATATGCTATTTCAATCGTGCATAATCTCATATTCTGAAGCAAAATTAGAAGTTAAAGAACTGCCACGAGGCAATTTCTGCTTCATGCCCAAAGAGTGAAAAGAGAAAGGAAGCAAAATGAGAGCAGACCTGAGTGTGATTGGTTGTAGGATGATTGGGTTTGGCATGTTGGGAAACATCCACAGATCTGAAGATAAGATCAATACCACTCTCATATCTATATGGAAACTACGAAGCTTCAGCCAGAGTCTAGTGTAGCTTAGCTTATCTCAGAAACAGGTGCACCTAGGTTGTGTATTATATTTAGTTCATGTATTACTCATAAAGCCGTTTACAAAGACACATAGTGGTAGCACATCTTCTTTCATGCTAGTAAGCTAAACATTAAATAATAAGAATCGAACTAAAGTTAAGAAAGTGGTTTTGACTGGGTTAAGAGTAAATGGCAGTTTTGTGTCATCTGAAGTGAACTTAATGTCCTTTTTAAGTCGACACTCTCATTAACCAGCTGTTTGTGTGTGTCTGAATGTGTGAGAGGATATACTGTACAAAGTGTCCATGTGTCCAGGAGCTTTCTGGTGCTGAAGAAAAGACAGGGACACCGTCTGCTTAACTGCTACTCCAAACCAGCAGTCAATGCTTAGAAGTGATGCCTGGTTTGTTTCTCTGAACTGCTCAAGTTTAAACTCCCATCTTCTTTCCATCCTGCTCCTGGAATGTCGTAAAGTTGCGTAGGCTGGGATCAATACCTCCAACATTCGCTCTAACTCTGGATTTTGCAAAGAAATGAAATGTTCAGGTTGAACATTCACATGAGATCATCCTCTATTATTTAATTAATGGTTCACAGGGGAGCCTCACCCCTGTTGATAGAGATGCTTTAGTTGGCCTAATTGCTTTAAAGAACTTCCGGAGTCAGCTTTGGTCACCTTGAAAGCCTCTGATGTAATGCCTAATCTATTTATCCAAAATTAGATGAACGTGAGGATGAAGACGATATAAAGGGACCACACACGCCTCATTTTATGAAACGCAAACAACATGTTTTTACAGAAGAATTAAAATCTTCCTATGTTAAGCCCTCAAACTTCTTTAGAACCGCCAGCTCAGGAACTACTTCCTGTGGTGTTTACGAGGCTTCAGTCGACGTGCTGTGATGTCTTCGTGAGAGCCTGTAGGTGTAGAGTCCTTTGTTTGTTCGGCACTCGTGTTAGCTACGTACAATTACAAGTAAAGCACAGTTTTTTAAGCTTCACTTAAGCTTTATCTTTCTTCTTCTTAAATGCAAAAGACTAACAAGCACGCTTGAATTTCAGCTGATGTCTTCACCAGCTCAGCGTTCAGCTCTACATAATTGGAACAAATCAAGCGCTGCCACAGAAATGATACTCGATTGCAAGAAAATGAACACTGAGGAAGGCATCAGTCAAAACATTTGTGCTCGCTCCTCTTTTGCACTACAAAGGAATAACAACAGTGAAAGTGTTGTGATGTAATTTGAAGTCACTGAAGAAGAAAAACATAAAATAAAATAAAAATAGGCCCCAGGTTTCAGGAAATTAAATGACTGAAAGAAACGCATGACATTTATTTTTATACTTGTCGCACATTAATACTCTAAATTATTCTGATTACATTTAGAGGTGAACATTTATTTAACCACCCCCCTTTCCTTTAAAACACGCTGCAATGACAGGAAGTGGATGCGGTGAGTGAGATCTCTTGCTGTGTCTAAAGTCTGCGCTATCCTTTTCCCTCTGGACCCTCCACAGTGCAACGCACACCCAGCGTTTGCTTCACCTTCCATTGAAAACCACCCCAGGGAGGGCTGCATGAGGATGTCTGGCTATTTTACACAAAAGCCTGGCTACAAATATAAGGGACACCACCAGTTTAGAAGCCATTCAACCTTATAAAGAGTCAAATGTGTGGAGTTGTGTGTGTGGTTTATCAGGCAGACTGCATTTAACAGCATATATCACACAGTAATGGTTCATTCACATCTCGTTTAAGATACGAAACATATTAAGAGCTTCTGTATATTTATGGTACAGTAGTGTATCTTTTTCTTGTGTGATCATGTAAATTCAAGTTCAAATCCTTGATTGTTTTTTCACGTGCGATCTAGTTACCAGGGTTTGTGTAGCAGAAAGCTGTGCTGAGGTTTAGACAGCAATGAGTGAGACTACCATAGAAATTTGCCAGTCTTCACCTTGGGTGGTTGATGCAATTTTGAGCAGGTCAGGAATACTGTAACCTTGTGAGGCAAGAAGTGAATACCAAGCTGCAAACACAGTTTAAGCATAACAGGAAACTGAATTCAGAGTACACAGAGGAGGACACCCACAGGTAATTTTAGGGTAACAAACTGTTTATGCTCTAATACTGTTCCTCTTTATATTAGTGTAGTAGCATAATATGATCGTAAAATCTCATCCACACTACTGACAATATGATGTCATAAAGCTTAATGCACAGTATTCTTAATTACTGTAGATCCAGCTACCAACTGGGTCATTCCAACACAAATCTTCACATTTTTTAGAACATTTTCTGCTCACTCGTTCTTTTTTTTTCCACTTTTTTTTGTTAGATATTCATGTTCAAGGGTTGTCTCAGATTTTCAAAGTGTGAAAAAAGCAGGTAATATTTAAAAAAGTATTTTATATAAAAAGCTACAAACTTTGGACATAAAATTTTTAGCCAAATTGGAGATAGGCGAGCAGAGAGCCCACAGTGATTTGAGACTGAATGACCTTTAACAGTCAAATTACAGTGTAGCGTTCATTGAAATGAATCTAATAAAGTATTGTGCCACACCTCTTAATCTCTGAATTCCGGTGTTTTCAGCTCCATTCCCACAGCTGTATGAAATCAAGCACCTGCCCATACAGTTTATTAAAAGTTGGTTCCAAGGTCTCAGTATCATTGAGCAGCAGTTTCTTAACTGATAACCTAACTGGGGGTCATATAAGTGCTGATTCGTGCTTGATAAGAGTTCAGCAGCCTACAACAAAGCTAGGCTAGACTATTAAGCCCCAAATCCACAGCTAGGATCAACTTTAGAATCACCATTTAACCCGTCACTGGACTGTAGGCAGAAAGATCTTGGAGGCTCCGAGAGAACATGCAAACCCCACAAAGAAAGGCCAGAGCCTCGTCCAAAATCTTCTATCACTTGGGAATTTATTTTTAGAACAATGTAGGAGTGAGTACCTGGTCACAATATAAAAACTTCTATGCTTTGTGAGGCTGCGACAAATCAGTCACAAGCATTTTACTGAAATAAGCCACTGGTGCTGGCCGATAAGGCCAAAGCTGGCACTTGTTTATCTTTTTCAGTTCATCCTCGACCTTTAAAGATCTTTGATTTTCTTCTACAACCAAACAAATTTTTTGCATGATGGTGACGTCAAAACTTGTGCATCCACATTTGACCATAAAGTCAATCAGGTAAACAATGCTCTGACAGTCCACAGATAACTAAATCCAGATAACATATAATTATGCAGCATTAATATAAATATCAGTATCACTGCTTAATAGCCAGAACCGGGCTCAAATCGTCATCTGTCTTAATGTGTGGAGAGCTTAAGTTTGATGGATGATGGTCGTGCATGTCTGCATACCAACAGTGACATAGATCTCTCTCTCGGTCTCACTCCGACCTCTTTCTGTGGTCTCTCTATCCTCTCAGAACCGCTTCACCCCCCGCAAACACACACACACCCAGCATTCTGCAGCCTAATTTACACGACACAGTCCGCAATAACCAGCAGCACGCATTTTTACGCGCGTACTTTAACCTACACACACACACACACACCACACCTCTCTCACTATCTTCCTCACAAATTTCCGTGCACATCCCAACAGATGCACAGAGGACGAAAACGCGCAAATTGATCTCAAACATGCACTTGTGCACTTCAAGTGTCCCCGACAGATCACCTGAGGTCTCTTTAATCCCAGGTGGGGAAAACTGCATCCTCCGTGTCACCCTCCGAAATATGAATTACTCCAGCAACAGCCAAGCAACACCTCAAGCACAGCAAACTGAGAACACCGCTGCAATGACAAATAACAGAGGCTTTACCAGTAGGAGCGTTAAAAGCGCACGCAACAACATTTCAATTTTCTTTTATGCATCTTTCACCACTAATAATACCGCCACTCGTATTCCCTCTGCTCCAGCCTCTCCCCCTTCTCCTCGTTCCTTACCTCTGCAGCCGGCTTATCTCTCTCTCGGAGCTCAGGAGCCAAGAAGCAGCTTCACCGACCGACCCATCAAACCGCCGCACAGTGGAGTGAGAGAGACAGAGAGAGAGAGAGCGAGAGAGAGGGAGAGAGAGACCGTGTTTGGAATATGGGAATCATTATACTGCAACAGTTCAGATAGTAGATGTACTCATTTAATATCGCACCTATGGTATTCCAGGGCAATCCCAAACTTGCACGAATTTGGGATTTTAGAAGTTTACGCAGAGTGTGCATCTCTCTATTGTGTGTGATTGTCAATCCCCCTCCGATGAAGGTTCACCAACAAATTAGGTGGTTGGTTGGTTTTTTGTTTTTTTCAGGGTCAGGGGAATGTTGTGGTTATGGTCATAGTTAGGTTGGGTTTGTAGGAAAGTTGAAAAGCCAGCTTTACATCTGTGTAGGCACCACTTATCCTGAAGATTAACAAATACTGTATAATACATTCAACCAATTGTATAAAGACAGTAACTCAAGATTTGATATGTCCACGTACTGGCTCTTTTATCTGCACTGTTATCAAATAAATATTGGCTGTAAACAATTTTTAGATTATTGTATACTGTTTGTATTCATAATTTACACGGTGTCACATAAAGTGTCCAGTCAAGCTAGTCATATTCATATGTTCCATTATCATAAGTTGTGAATTTTCCCTGCAGGGTCTTATAGTTTTACACAATAATACTTGACCCTCTGTCTGCAGACACAAGTCCCTGTGCTGCTGTTTTCCCTCTTTGCCTTAAAATCCATTGATGTCATAATGCCTACACAGGATATGAGAAGATTTGACTGCAAAACCAGGAAATTGTATGTGAGAAAACAACATACACGCAGACAAAGAAGGTACGTTTTCCAAACAACTGTACTCACACTGTTCATAATTATCCTGATAATACAGCCTGAAATTACTATAAAATGAATATGGACACAACTTTATGGAAAAAAAATGCATGATAGAAAAGAAGTTTCAAAATAAAATGAAAACAAATTAGAATTGGATAAATGGAAGAAAATGGATGCTAGAGGTTGTACCTGGAAATGGAAGGCAGCTAGTTGAACATTTACAGAAAGATTATAGATCCACCAGGACCTCCATGAATCATGTTTGTGGACTGTAGGAGAATTCAGTGCCGCCAAAAAGAGTCATGTTTACGTTTTGAATTAATCTGACTCCTGAGTGGTGTTTGCCAGACATGAAGAACCATCATCTTCCAGTGTGTTTGCACATTTCTTTCTCCAGATGAATAATATTTAAATTTGAACCACCTCATCCAATTTCTCTCTTGCTTTCTCTGCTTATTTATGCTGTTTTGAAACTCGCTCTTCCACCGCCGCTGCCATTGCCTTGTCAGTGGCCGTCTCAAGATAACAATTAGTTCAATGAAGAGAAAGGAGGCTTTGTTGGATAACAAAATTAGCCCGTTGTCATGGGGAAAACAACTAAGAGAATAGGGAAAAATGCACTAATCAGGCACAACATTTAAAAAAACCACCTGCTTAATTTTCCTAAGGTCCCACCTTGTGTGGTCTGTAAGGACATGGACGGGGGGGAGGGGAACCAAGACGTTGGCAGCAGATCATTTGAATTCTGTGGTTTCACAGGTAAAGCATTGTTAGATATGGGTAATCCAACAAACTCAATCCAGTTTAAATATGTGGATTTGGAATTCTGGTTGAACATCCTGGTCTCTTTGCTGGGTTCCTTGAGCTGTTCCTGAGCAGTTTTTGCATTGCTGGGGAGGTCGCTGCTATTGTGCAGGGGTGGCAAGTGACAAATTAACATCCGCATGGATGCCAGGATCCAATATATCCCAGCGTAACCTTGCACTATAATGAGATAATCACTGTTATTTTCTTCAGTTATCAGTAGTTTTAAGTTTTCAGCTGATTGGTGGATATTTATAACTCTTCTCAGTGCTTTTGTAGCTTTGAATTTTAAATGCACGGCAAGGCACTTTAACATTTCTGAAATAAATGCAGCCACAAGCTTGCTAATATCCCCTACATGGGAAATTATCTGAAATACTCACTCCCTCTCTTAAGTCTTTTTCTTTTTTTTTTGCACTTCGAGCCTTCCCCATACTCACCCCCGCTCCCCATCTTTCTTAGTGTAATCGCTCCTAATTTCTCATCTTCAACATATGCAAGGCCAACAGCTTCAAACCAGCGAGCTGCAAGCCCAGCAGATAAACTCTTAGCTGATGGGGACTCTTGGCCAAGCACTGAGGCACATCAAAGGCCCTGATGCAATGATGAACTAAGGGAGGAAACTGGGTGCTTACTACAGCCAGCAGAGGTTTCTTCGCTTTGTGTGCATGTGTGTGTGTGTGCATCCCAGTGTCAACAGACAGCAAGTTTACCATTTACTGTAATTCAGGCTACGTTTTCTCACAGCCGGTGGTGGCGACTAAAAATATTTGCTGTCCTAATTCAATAAGCCATTACTGGGACAGAGAGTGAGGGGGACCACATGCTTCAAAAGCCAGCTGTTTCCCTCTCCTTTTTTTTCTTTCGCGCTTTTATCCGCTGTTTACTGTACAAATGGAAAAATGGACGTCAATAAGCTCGTAAAATCAATACGTGCACTTACAAGCTAAATGCCGTCAAAAACAGCATTGATACTAATGGCCCCATCTGTTCGTGCGGATACACACTCGAACACATCTTCTCATGGTTGGAAACTATAGCCTCCACTCTGGACCGACTGAATTATTGAGCAACAGGAAGCAGGAAGAAAAGATCCCACTGGAGCATATCTGTGTGTGTGCTGATAAGTGGTTTAGCAAGGGATGCCCCATTTTATGTGCTCGTTTATTGCAGTACATCGTCACATGTACACACATGTATACACACATACCCATGTATACACTGATCAATAAGCTGCTAAACTTAGAGAAATTCAATTTTTTTCATGGCAAAAGTATGTAACTGTATACAATACAAGATATTATTTTAAACTGGATAAGTGCGCTGTGCACTCTTCAGAAATTATAGTGATTTTGGTTTTAAATACAGTGGCTTACGAAAGTATTTGGTCCCCTTG